CAAGAGCTGCCCCCTGGTGGTCAGTGTGCTCCCACAGCCAATGTCCTGTGGCCTCTCCCCACCTCCCAACCCCCGCAACCAGGCCTCTAGTTTTTAAATAAGAAAAAGCAGTTGATGTCTTACAATGCCATAAAACTAAACTTTGGGGCTTATCTTTTCTCTCAGACAGAACTTATTTGCATTTATCTCCCCCCACAAAAAATATACATTTGCGCCCTAGCTGGTTTGGCTCAGTGGATAGGAGGGCGTCGGCCTGTGGACTGAAGGGTCCCGGGTTTGATTCTGGCTAAGGGCACAAGCCTGGATTGGGGGCTCGATCCTCAGTGGGGGCCATGCAGGAGGCGGCCGATCGGTGGGTCTCTCTCATCATTGCTGTTTCTATCTCTCTTTCTCTCTCCCTTCTTCTCTTAAATCAATAAAGAAATACATTTTAAAAAAATACATTTGCTACTTATCTATATTTTTACCCAGAAATACAGGCATACCTCGGAGATCTTGTGGTTTGGGTTCCAAACCACCATAATAAAGTGAGTATCACAATAAAGCCAGTCGTAATCTTTTTGCTGGTGGAGGGTCCTACCTTCAATTTGTGAAAAGCAAAACACCTGTGAAGCACAATAAAGCAAAACACAATAAAGTGCGGTAGGCCTGTAACGAATTAGTTTCATTTTCTTAAATTGTGGTAAAATATATATAACATAAAACTTAACATCTTAAGCATCTTTAAGTGCACAGTTCACTAGTGTTAAGTACATTTACATGATTGTACAATCTCCAGATCTCTTTTCATCTTTAAAAACTGTACCCATTAAACAATAACTCCCCAACACTCCCCCCACCCCACCCCCAGCCCCTGCCAACCACCATTCTACTTTCTGTATCTATAAACTTGACCACTCTAAATATCTCATATAACTGGACTCAAGCAGCTTTTGTCTTTTTGTGACTGGCTTATTTCATTTAGCATAATCTCCTCAAAGTTCATCCATGTTGTAGCATGTACCAAAATTTCCTTCATTTTTAAGACTAAATAATATTCTAATGCCTGTATATACAACATTTTGCTTATCCATTCATCTGTTGGTGGATTTTTGGGTTGCTTCCACTTTTTGGCTGCTGTGAATAATGCCGCTATGGACATGGGTGTGCAAATATCTCTTCAAGACCCTGCTTTCAGTTCTTTGGGATATATATGCCCAAGTGGAATTGCTAGAGCAACTTACCCATTTTTTAAAAGTTCACATCTGGCCCTGGACGGTGTGGCTTGGTTGGTTGAGCACTGTCCCATGCACCAAAGGGTTTCTGGTTCCATTCTGGGTCAGGGCACAATCCTGGGGGGGCGGGGGGGGAGGGGAGGCATTTAGGAGGCAGCCGATCTAGGTGTTTCTCACATTCTCTCCCTCCCCCGTCTTCCTTCCTCTCTCTCTAAAACTAATAAAACATATTTTAAAAACCAATCAATAAAAGTTGACATCTGACTTTACAGAGTGGGGACCCTAATCAATATTAAATAGTAAGTCAAACAAAGTTATCCTCCCCAAAAGCATCAGGTGACCAACAGGTGGGCCAGTTAGATAATATTCTAGTATTACTGTCAACAAACTTGCAGTACACTTTTAGCCTTATTTCCAAATTCTGGATAATTTTTATTTGCAGTCTCCCTCACTATGAGGGTAGGGGCTGTGTTACTGGGTATTTTACTCTCAGTGGCTAGCTAGGCCCTTAAGTACTGTTGATTGAATGAAGTATCGCTGAGGCCTACATCACCTGGCTGTTATGAGGACATTATGAGATGTTGCTTGCAAACTGCCTGTCAAAGTCTGGCACATAGTGGCTGCTTAAGACATAGGAGTACTTAATATTATTGTTATGCAACAACTGGGGGCTGGGGGAGGGGGATGGTCATGACTCGGAGGAGGGGCAGCCATGACTCCTGGTATGGGGGCAACTGTCCTAGAGGGGGGACTGAGGCTGGGTCTTGGGGCCTGGGTGCCACCAAGCTAGAATGCTGGGAGACCTAATGTCTTTTTTTAGGACTCTCCACGAGATACTTGATTCCTCGGGCACCATAGGAGCATTGGTGGCTTGGATGATCAGCTATAAGCCAGCCTTGTTTGGGTTCCTCTTCCTCCTGCTATTGCTTAGCAACTGGCTGGTCAAGTATGAATTCAAGCCTACCCCCACAGAGCCCCAGCAGGTGAGCAAGAGGGGCCTTAGCTTCAGTTGAAGGTGATGGGATATTTACAGGTAGACTGGGGTCTGGGGGATGGGGGAGATGTCAGGATAATGGGGCAAGGCTGAGGCACCCACGCCTCTAAGTCTTTACTCTGCAGCTCACCCTTCACAAGGCTTCAGTTGCCTCCACTAGGAAGTCGGGACCACCCTAGACTCTGCCACTTCCTGTTTGACGTCAACATGCTTTGGCAATGGCAACACTCACTTTAAAGGAAAACATGAAAATGGATGAACTAGAGACACATGTATAACATAGGTACATCGCTAAAATATAATAATGAAGATAGGAGAGATGTACATGAATTATGACATATTTTATATAGTTTAAAAACATGCCAAACAATACCCTATCTTGTTTATGAACGCACGTTTTTTAAATTTAATTCTTTATTGTTCAAAGTATTACATATGTCTCCTTTTCCCCCCATTGACCTCTCCCCAGCTGCTCCCACCCCCCAGCACATGCCCTCACCCCCCTACTGTCTGTGTCCATTGGTTATGCTTATACACATGCATACGAGTCCCTTGGTTGATCTTACCCCTCTCTCCTACCCCCCACTCCCCAAAAGCACATGTTTAGTGAAAGTACATTAAGGCAGGATTTTTCAACTTCCACATGATTGGCATTAGGGCGGGATAATTCTCCATTGTGAGGGACTGCCCTGTGCATTGTTAGATGTTTAGCAGGATCCCCGGGCTCTACCCATAAGATGCCAATAGATCCCATCACCCCTGTCGTGACAACCAAAAAATGCCTCCAGGCATTGCCACAGGTCCCTTGGGAGGACACACTAGCCTCTGGTTGAGAGCCACTGGAATGAAGAAATGCATGGAAAAAGTAAACGCCGGATTCAGGATTGCAGTTGAGATACGTTCAGGGCGGGAGGGAGACACTCTAGGAGAGGGAGCCACAATTGCATTTGTGATGTTTTACTTCTTACACTAATGTGGAGACGTGGATATTTGCTGTGATATTTACTTTTTTGTGTGTCTGAAAGATTTAATTTTTAAAGGGTTGGAAAGACCAGGAATTTGTAGTTGAATCCAAAAAGAACAGCTAAAGTATTATTGCTCTGGGTGAGGGGGCAGATGAGGACGACAGAGACAAGAGCGTGTCCTGAGACACTGAGACTGGGCAGCAGAGACTTCGCAGGGCCTGACGAACTCTCAGCGCCCTGGGGAATGCACAGCCCTGGAGACAGATACATTTGGGTTGAAGGTTTTATGTTCTTCCATGAACCAGAGGGAACTGTGGGTCCTGGGAGTGTGGGGTCTCTCCCGCAAGCTGGATGATGCTGAGCCCCCATTCTCTCACCCACACGATGCTCTCCTGGCGGGCGGGCTGTGAGAATCCATTAAGGTGACAGTTATATATCACCCAGCACGGGAAGGGGGGGCTCTCATTATTAACCAACCTCCCCTCTTTTCCTGCTGGCGGGAGCTTAGGAAAAGAC